TTAACTGACAACTTTACACACCCCTGTTCAGAACACATGTAATACTTAAAGTGACACCAGTCTTTATCTGGGTAAGTCCTCTGTTCTTTTAGATTCAAAGCCATGGCAAGGAATTAAGATCTTTTCGGAGATATTCATGTAACAGAACCAAAGAAAAGCTCTTTGTATCACTCCAACAGCAAAGGCAACTGGGAGCTGAGGCTGAGACATCAGTTATGTGGATAAGGCTGCTGCCCGATTCCATCCGAGTCAGCCCAGCTTTGGCTTTCTAAGTCTGCCAGCTGCCCTGCTGGGGACTGTCTGAGGACACGCTTCTCACCTTCACTCCTTGGCTTTGCATTTCAGTTCCATCAGGATCTGTAGAGACCTAGGAAGGAGATGAAACAAATCAACCATTACAACTTACATAAATTACTTATCTAAGCTGGGGGGAAAGGTTGAAATTGTTGATTTAAATATGGTTTGGCTTTGTTGGTATATTTCAGTTATCTGGTTTCATTTGTTTTCTCTATAGCTGCTAATGATTGAAAGTTGACTGCAGAAAATAGAATAAAATTATTTTTATAAATACAATGGAAGCTGTTATCATAGAGAAGAGGATCAAAATGCTCCTATAAAAAAGTTTGTATAAGCAATGATTTTAAGTTCTGAGAATATTAATAACAAGGTGTTTTAGAGTAAAAGTTCTGACTTTTATGACTAGAGTCTTTCAAATTATCCTCAGGGATACTTTTCTATGTTGAAGGTTAAATCACACTTGATTATCTCTTTATGAAGCGATCTATTAGGCAGTGGGAAAAACAAATTTCTTACACTATGGGATTAACAAATATTTACTTGGGAGATTTTGAAGAGAACTTGAATCATAGGGTTTATTGTATGTTTTGGTCCTGAATTTATTTTGCCTCAAAGAAGTAATACAGTTTTAAGATTTATTTTCTGATACTTGAGTATTACATTTTCTATAGGTATAATCCTACTAAAAACTTTATTTTTCAGTACTCAATTTGAAAGGGAATTAAGAACACGTAAGATTATAGAAAAATGGAGAACCTAGGAAAAAGACTAGAGACCAAAAGAGATTATATTTAAAAAAAGACAATCATAAGTTTGAAGTGATCGATAATAAATAAAATGCATATTGTCTACATGTGTGGGTAGTTAATATGTAGAAGAAATCAGTATCACAAGTAGGATAAGGAAAAGGTGATGTAAATGGGTAGATATATAAATGGATCCCCAACCCAGGGATCGAACCCAGGTCTCCTGCACTGCAGGCAGATTCTTTACTGACTGAGCTACAAGGGAAGCCTGTAGGGTAATAAAGTGGTGTCAACTGCTGAACTGACAAGAATGAGATTTGGGGATAGGCCAACGGGTACTCTGTGATGAGACCACACTTTGGGGGTCTCAGTGGAATCCTGCAAGAGTCAAAGCAATGGGATAGTTTTTTAAGGAAAGGTTGACGAGGACAAACGCTTGAAGGCCAATTGAGTATTTTGTTATTGATTTTATTTGCTTACTTTTAGATAGGAGATACTATATGGAAAGGGGAAAAACTGGGGAAGGAGCAGAAATTGTCGATGGAAAAATGGTTCGTTAGGAGTGAATTCCTGGAAGAAGCAGGGAAGGTGAGATTGGAAGTCGAGACAGAAGTCAGCCTTGGCAGAGAGGGCACTTCCTTCTCCGGTGGCATCTTTGGGGGCAGAAAGCATATTCCTTTTGCACTCAACACTGACGAGATACTCACTTGCAGTACAGTACTGCAAAGAACACTGGCCACATACCAATAGTTTCGTTTTCGTTTAGTCAGAGAATAGTGTATGTTTCCCACTGAGAGCAAAACCAAGAGGAATGAATGTCAGTCGAGATATTGTCAAAGGAAACTACCAACCTTGTCCCTTTTGAAGTTTTTCTTTAGAAGGAAACATTTGAACATGGTTGCAGTAGTTCACTTATGGGCACGGCCTCATGATTTTACTAATGGCCGGAGTCTGTTAACTTTGGAAAGCTACATTTCAGGTTCAAAAGATGGGATGTGTGAAGGCCAGACAAAATCAGAGGGAGTCTGAAATTTTAATTCCAGTTTAATCATCAATTAGTTCTATTTTTTAGATGAGAATCTTAATTATTATAAGTCTTAGTTTCCTTTTTTCACAAAATTAAGGGGGTGGTTCTGATAGTTAAGATTCTTTTAGCCTTAAAATGGTTCTAAAAATGTACATTATATTAGCTCTTGCTCACGGTAAAGTCACCGAATGTAGTATATGTGCTGCCGAAGCGAGCACAAAGTCACCGAATGTATTTTTCTCTTTATGAATATTTCCCTTGCTTGAGTTTCATGAAAACATTTTGTATGCTATTTAACTAATTGGAACATCTGATAACTTTGAAAGTATCCTAAAAATTCAATTGATGTTGCATGTGTAGATGCTAAGCTTAGAAAAGACTAAATCAAATTGCCTTCATATTAAATTTTTCTTTGATGGTGAGTTTCATTCACTTGTAACCTGCTATAAACTAGGCTACCCTTAGCCATTTGATAAATTGTTATTCAGAAGCATTTCACTTCCTCTTGGCAGTTAGAAGAGTTAATGCAGTTAAAAAGTTTGATGCAGCTTAGACCTTCTCGCGTGTCTATTTTATGGTTTTAATAGTCAATTTAGCCCTCCAAAGAAGTCACTTCAAGTGAAAAGTGAAAGTGAAGTTGCTCAGTCATGTCTGACTCTTTGCAACCCCATGGACTGTAGCCTACCAGTCTTCTCAGTCCATGGGATTTTCTAGGCAAGAGTACTGGAGTGGGTTGCCATTCCCTTCTCCATGGGATATTCCCGACCCAGGGATTAAACCTGGGTCTCCAGCATTGTAGGCAGATGCTTTACTCTCTGAGCCACCAGGGAAGCCCAAGTCACTTCAGACTCTCATCTTATGCAGAAATACAAGTAATTCAAGTTTGGTTGAGTTACATATCATATTTCATTCATTCATTTGAGCAGACTTCCCTACTAGACCATGGAGCCCCATGGAGATAGAAATGTGTCTTTTTCTGCTCCTTAGTGTATCATACCCTTTGTAGTTACTACAGTGCTTTCACATAAAAGCTGCCGAGTAGATATTTTTAAAATGAATGAATGGTATGATTTTGCTCCTGTGGAGTTGTTAGGCACTAAAAATTTGTGATTCAGATATCCGTTTCCATTTGAAGATTTGTAGTAATGAACCACTACATATTTGAAAGTGATTTTATAAAATTGCAATCTGTTCAGCAACATTTCATTATGAAGAATATGTGTCTTAAGACCTTTTATGTCCACTTTGGATTCTGCCTTGAGCTCTCTTCAGATCATTGAGCCAGACAGAGAAATCATGGAATAGCCAGATTAAAAGGGACATTTATTGGGAGTAGAAGTGAAGAGGAACTAAGAGCCCCTTGATGAAGGTGGAAGAGGAGAGTGAAAAAGCTGGCTTAAAACTCAACATTCAGAAAATTAAGATCACAGCATCCCGTCCCATCACTTCATGGAAAATATATGGGGAAACAATGGAAACAGTGAGAGACTTTATTTTCTTGGGCTCCAAAATCACTGCAGGTGGTGACTGCAGCCATGAAATTAAAAGACACTAGCTCCTTGAAAGAAAAGCTATGACCAACCTAGACAGCATATTAAAAAGCAGAAACATTACTTTACTGACAAAGGTCCATCTAGTCAAAGCTGTGGTTTTTCCAGTAGTCATGTATGGATGTGAGCGTTAGACTATAAAGCTGAGCTCTGAAGAATTGATGCTTTTGAACTATGGTGTTGGAGAAGACTTTTGAGAGTCCCTTGGACTGCAAGGAGATCAAACTAGTCAGTCCTAAAGGAAATCAATCCTGAATATTCATTGGAAGGACTGATGCTGAAGCTGATACTCCAATTCTTTGGCTACCTGATGTGAAGAGCTGACTCATTTGAAAAGACCCTGATACTGGGAAAGATTGAAGGCTGGAAGAGAAGGGGCCGACAGAGGATGAGATGGTTGGATGGTATCACCGACTTGATGGACATGAATTTGAGCAAGCTCCAGGAGTTGGTGATGGACAGGGAAGCCTGGTGTGCTGCTGTCCATGGGGTCACAAACAGTTGGACACGACTGAGGAACTGAACTGAATTCAACTGAATTGATTAGGAATAGAATAGATGAGTGACTGTACATTCAGGGAGTGTTCATTTGCTTATTGGTGCCTTTCTTTGGCCATTTCTTTAGAAAAGCCCCAATCCCTTGTGTTTCTGATCACAACTTCTGTACCTATTTCTGTCTTCCCCCTTCTTCACATACATATTTTTCTTTTCTCTATCTCTTCAACAGCTGTCCTATTTCCCCTACTTCACTCAGTATATTAATCACCTCTTGGTCTTTTTCCTTTCTACTGAAATGTGAAGGGCAGGGATGCCATTTCAGTGCTGTTGCCTACAAGCTCTGTGGAATCAGTGGTGAATATGACTCACAGCTCATTCTTGCCAATGGAGCCGGAGCCCTTCTCGAGGAAGGATCAGACCTCTTCCACCTTTGTGCCACTCAGATCCAAGTTTCCAACTTCACTGATGTGTTCAGTAGTCCTTTAAGCTCATCAATGAGTGATTCCTTGTTCTGATTCTCATTACTACTGTTCCAGTACCATTAGCCTTGATGTTGCAGTAACTTGGGGTGAGGGGATTAAAAGAAGAATGTGACCTGGGACTTAAAGAGTGTGTATGCGTATATTCAACGGTTGTTGATTTGGCAGTCATGGTATGCAGGCATGTTACATAACTGGAGCAGCTATAAGGTAAGTGGCTCTAGATGGTGTGAGAGTGGATGGGGGTTGGAGCAGAGATCATCCTTCCCTCTCTCATTTCCTGTGGTTACTCCATGGTGCCCCGTTACCGGCAGTATCATGTGGGTCTTTCTGAATATCGTCTTTACAATGCGCCAGTTTAAGGATTCCTGACAACTACCTTCTAATGTTTGTTTTGTGACAGATGATCCAAGAGAGCCGATATCTCATAGAAATGGCAGACACAGTCCAGGAAAAGATTGTGCAGTGTCAAAAAGCAGGTAATCTTCCCTCTTGCCCCTATTTTGCTTAGAAAGCATTAATGATGATTCGTATAGACTTTAAAAGATTCTCTTTTTACTCTTAAAATTCAAATATTTTATGTCATAGTTTAATGATACTTTGAGTTGCATTGAAGCCTTTGTTTAGTACAGAAGAGATCTAGATGATAGTAAGTGGGTTGTCTGTGTGTATATAGAGATGGTATCTGAAGATATCTAGAGAGGTGAGGGTTTCTGAACTTACTTTTGTGATTTGGGAACCTATCAAAGCTGTTTACTACTGATATGGAAACTGTGGTTTTACATTGCTGCTTAAGAACCACTTTAGTTTTACAATTTGAACCATAATCCTGTTAACCTTCTAGGCTTTTGCCCCATTTACTAGTCCTCATTTTAGGCCTGTTCTTTCTTCAAGGGTGCGGTGGGTCCCATGTCTCTTATGTCTCATTGTTTGTTTATTTTCACCTTTGTCCACACCCCTGTACGTTTCCTCTCTCTTGGATCCATGTTCTCCCTAATCTATACACACACTCGTGATTAAGGTAAGGAAGATGACACTGACAATTGCTTGATGTATATGCATATGATATACTAAACACATATGCTATGCTATTTAGTCCTCATAACAGCTCTGCAAGGTAATCATCATCGTGTCCAATCTACATAGGAGGCCTCTGAGATTCTGAGAGATTGAATGAATTATCCCAAATACCATATCAACATGTGGCAGAGGTGACCTTTGAACCTAGACCAAAATTTGAAAATGGTGCTCTTCACTACTGATCTGGAAGCTTAAATGTGTCTGTTGAAAGGAAGCATGAAAATAATAACAATACTAAATATTCATATTATGTTCCTATATGCCAGGCAGTACTTTGAGAGCTTTGTGTTTCTAGGCTTATTTAACCTTCACCCAATTCCATGAGGTCAATAGTCTTTGTTGTTGCCATTGCACCACTGAGGAGACTGAATGGCAGAGAGTTTCAGGGATTCATTCATGCTCATGGAGCCTGCCAGTGGTAGGGCCAGGGGATAGATCTAGGCTCTGAAGCCATGCTTTTACTACTTACTGTGCTTGTGATGTTAGCACCAGGCAAGTTAATGTGGTTTAGGCTGCATTAATACAAACCTAGTCGGTAGAACAAGGAAGTGGTGGTAAAACCTTACCTCCTGTGGGCTACTTCAATCCTATTTTAAGTACAATGTTCCTGGATGTCATCCTTAAAGAGAGACATTATAATAAGCTGAAACATGTTAGAATGTTTAATCTGGAGAAGGGAAAGCTCTGGTAGACTTTAACCAATATCTTTCTTCAAATATTTAAAGGGCTGCACTGTGGAACAGAGATTAGACCATGTTGTTGAGTCTAGCTAGAACCAAGGGGTAGAAATTCCAGGGAGAAAGACTTGCTTGATATCAATCATAGCTTTCCAAAGATGGAATGAGCTTACCAGAAAAAAGTGTGATTCCTAATTCTGAGGTGCTAAGACAAAGGCTAGAGAAACAGATGATGGTGATGTTTTTCATAGTATTCAAGCTCAGAAGAATGGTTTAGCTGTAAAGTTATTATAAATAACTTTAGGGCCATTCCCAAATCTGAAACATTCGGGTGTTTCCAGGAATGCTTTTTTTTTTTTTTAAACCTTTTTAGTTTTACTCAACATTTACTAATTACCATTGTTATCTTTGTAGGCTCCAGGCCTACTGTCAAGCCATATGGATGGTTCATAAGAAAAAGTAAGATATGTGCATCCTTCACATATGGTAGCTGTTCATACATTACACCATTTTATATAAAAACCAGGCAGAAGATAGGCAAGATGGATGCAACCTGTTGGAAAAATTTGCTTCTTAACTTCTCATGTCTTTGTCTATGTATTCTTGCTGTTTAAAATTTAATTTAATCTAATGCATTGGTTATTTTTAGTTTTCTCTTAAGGATAGCCATTGGGTGGTGATGAAACGAATGAGAAGAGAATTCAGTTTGGGGATTTATAAATTATGAGAGGACAGAAATGGGAAGTTATATTTTTACTGATAATGTTTTCACGATAAAATGCCTAAATTTCTGAAATTTATACAGAAAATTCTCTTATGTTCTCTTTTCAAAGGCATGGAGTTCCATGAGGAGCTTCATAATCTGGGGGCAAAAGAAGGCTTGAAAGGAAGAAAACTCAACAAAGCAACTGAGAGCTTTGCTTGGAACATTACAGTATTGAAGGTGAGTGAAGTACTCAGGTGCCCATTTGCCTTTGTTTTTCTCTTCATTTCTCTAATTGGTCTTCTCATCAGTGGTTGAAAACAGTGACTTAAAGTTTTTATTAAAGCTTGCTCTAATTAATTCATACTCTAAGTGATGGGGAGATGCATACATGGATTGATGCACTTTTGTCCATAGTAAGGCAATGAGTTTTGTGGTGGAGGCAGAAGACAGCAAGACCTAATTCATTACCTGGGGTGCGGGGGTGCGCGCGTGTGTGGCTTACTCATACGTCTCGTTAGGTCAGCATGGCTGTTCTTGTTTGTGCAGGGAACAACATAAAATGTTACTGGAGAAGGATCCAACACAAGTTATTTGGGAAAGCCTTAAACTACAGACAATTTGGAGCCATTTAGGATTATTTTATTATAGGGACAGCCTCTATAAATACGTTTATTTTTGCAGAAATTTTGGAAGTCAGCTTTTTGATATTATGATTTGCTCTGCTGGAAATTAATTTTAGGACTTTGAAGTAAAGACATCACTTTTCATATTTTGTTACATGAATGGAAAAATGATTTAGGCAGCTGGAATGATTTATTCTTAACATTGTGATGGAGAAAAACAGCTACAAGCAAAATTAATAATTACTGACATTTTAAAGAACATTCATGAGCCAGGCACTGTTTTATAAGGTTTATATGAATTAACATTGTAATACTGTCATTAACCCAATACTGTTACTATTCTCATTTTACAAGTGAGAAAACCAAGGCATTGAAAACTTATGTCTATTACCCAAGATCACTCAGCTAGTGAATGCTGGAGCTGCAGTCTGAACTCAGGCAATGTAGCTCCAGACCAGAGCTTGGTCTACAGAGAGATACTGCACTGTTTATGTGAATGTGCTAAGTGAATCGTAATACATATCACAAATGCTTATTAAAAATTCAGCCCACAAATATTTGGTAAGCTCCTATCATGTATTGAGCTCTTTGCTCTGCACTAGGGATCTATGAAGAGCAAAATCTATATGGACCCTAACCTCATGAGTTGGTAGTCAGGGGACAGGAGGTGAGGTAGGGGGAAATAGGCATCATTTACTTAAGAGGCAGGAACTATAGTGTTACTGTAAAGAGGAGCTTATTTCATAATGCTTGAGTACAATGTGGCAGTAAGAGCCCCGAAGCATGCTTTCTGTTCATCATATATTTATGTGGGCTTGTTAATGTGCTGATTGCTGAGAAAAGAGCTATGGACACAGTGTCAAAAGGTACCCAGGTACCTGGGTCTCTAAGATTAGTGTACCGGGGAGACAGACAGATGACTCATAGCAGCCATCGGTTCTTCAACACTTCACGTGTGATTAAGCACTCATGACTAAGTTTATATGTGTTTCCTCCTTTCCACTTTGCAACAGCGGTGTGACATTCAGCAGCTCCTGCTGACCCCATATGACCTCTCCGTCTCACAGATGAGGAAATGGAGGCTCAGGGGGGTTTCGCTTTCTTCCCCTCGGCTGGTGGATGGCAGAGCTGAGATTTTCACGCATGCGCGTGGTTCTTCCCACGACCTGCCCTTCTGTGTCCTGTGAGATTTCGTCCGTGGAGCCGAGTCCAAGCAGCCTAGTACCGGGGTCAGGGCACAGGCTCCTGGTGTAGGCTGCCTGGTAGCTGTGAGCTTTAGCCAAATTATGTAGTCTCGCTGAGGGTGGTAACGTTAATAATACCTCCGCCCTGGGTTTTGTGAGAATGAAATGAGATAAAGTATACAAAATATCTAAGTCACAGTGCATGAAACTTGACACTATATAACACATCTCTACCTATACTGTTATCATATAGATGTGCTATTACCTTTGCTAGGGTGAGGATGACCATTGGAATATAAGGCTTTTGGTTTTTTTCAATTTAAAAAAATCAATTAATTAAAAAATGGAGATATAGTTGTTAGTTTCTTTGTTAAGGCTCACTGTTTTCTGAGGTTTGTGTGTTTGGTTTAGTGACAGGAGCTGATTGCTAGATGGGTGCATGATTAGTCGCTTTAGTCGCGTCTGAATCTTTGTCACCCTGTGGATGGTAGACTGCCAGTCTGTTGGGTTCTTCAGGCAAGAATACTGGAGTGGGTTGCCTTGCCCTTCTCCAGGGGATCTTCCTGAACCAGGGGTCGAACCCAGGCCGCCCGCATTGCAGGCAGATTTCTTTACTGTCCGAGCCACCACGGAAACCCGTGGTGGCTAGATGAGGCCTGTACAAATGCTGTACAGTCAAATGCTGTGCAAATCTTTCTAAGAGAGCTGTTTTGAAATAGAATCAGTCTTCCATTATTTTAGTTCTTCAGCTACTGGTATCTCAGCTTGAGCACTAGGAGCTTAAACAAGGATAGAGAACTTTTCCAAACTTCTGACATTTCTTTGCCCTCCCCGTTGTGTTCAGTGAACCTGTTAATCACCTACCCTTTCCACAAGGGCTAAACAAATGACTTCCTGCATATAGGGTTATCGTTACCTATTGTAAAGTAACTAGCCTCCAACTAATAAAAATAAATGAAAACAAAAACAAAAACAAATGACTTCCTTGGAACTTGACTTTTTAGATGAGGGACAAAGAGCCCAGCCTTTTTTTTTTCTTTTGGAGACTGTGTACTGTACTGGTGATTTTCTGAGAAGAACCTCCTCTTTTTTATTTCTCGCATCTTGGGTCTGAAGTTCTTAATCCCAGCTTTGTTCTCCAGTCTTCCTATTGATTTTCCAAGCTCCTAAAAATGCTTTTCCTTAAGTTTACTGGAGTCGATTTTCATTGCTTACAACTGGTTGAATTAGTAATAGCCACACTGCTAAGACACAATCACTAAAATAGTAGGATCTGTCAAAGCTCATCTAAAAATTCTGCATTTCCTACTGAAAAGTTTTCTGTACACATAGTTTTTACGAGTACTTCTTGATATCTGGGGGAAGGGAATGATTGAGTAATATTTGTTGAATGTGTGGATTCAAGTAGTTAAAATATTTAATTTCAATGGAATGTCCAATAAGTAAGAGAGGATCTGGGGAAAAACAAAGATATGTGCTCTCAGATAGATTGTCAGTTGGCAGCTTGGAGTGGTGGAAAGGGGCATCAATAAAGCAAATTGAGCTGGGACTAAAAGCTAACTTCTTTAGTTTGTGTTTTTTGCAATTCAGTATTAATATGTGACAGAGAAGCTGCAGAAAAATTTGCAGAAATGAAGATGAATAGCTCTACAATATAACAAGCATGAATTACACTTACAGAGTCCAATTTTTCCAAGCTAGAAATGAGGACTTAGAATCCAACAAGGAGGCTGAACTTATGATGATCTGGAGGCTTCCTTACATGTGTTTTTCTTTCATTCATATCTTAGTGGGAATTTGCTCAGTAGAACTTTCACGTTTCCTCACACTTTTGTCACATGCCATTAGGCAACTATTACAGTTATTTTCCTCCCTGTCTTTCTTTCACTTCTGAGCATAAAATTGAACTCTCTCAATAGCTTCTGTCTTCATTGGGATGATATGATGATGCAGGTCTTCATGACTCTGTCTGAAGTATCTTTTCCAGATAATTATTGGACTGAGATAGCTTCGTCTCATCCCACCCACACATGCCAACCGTTCCTTCCATATGTCTTTTCTGCATGCTGTCCTTCAGAAAAGAGTTCTGTTTGATTATTAGCATAATATTAAAATCTTACAGTGAAAGTCTTTCCTGTTCTTTTTGTCTTCCAGAAAGAGATACTACAACGTCACTTGCACAGCCAGCTTATTGTCCTAAATAGTTTTTAATTTTGGAAGAATTTTGTTAATGAGAATTCTGAAGGTCTCTTAGAAAAGAGATAGGAATTTATACTACTCACAGATAAAGCATAATGTATTATAAAGTGGAATTCATTTAAAATTTTGCACTCTACCCGAAATGATTTGATTCTTTAAATACAAAAAGAATTTCACTGAAAGGTAGTCACACCTACAAAACTGAAATTAGTGAGAACCTGAGAGTAACATTTTAGTGAGCTTCCCAATTATTTATTTTTCTGACTTGCCCTATTGTCTTTTTTAAGGAAATAATTCCATTATCTTTACATTTTTAAAAGTTTGATAAAAAAAATCAGCTTTATCAGATTGGAGAACTGTCAAGTAGAGATACATGAAAATATTGAAATATAATTAATCAACATTTTATTATAAAGGAAAAGTTATGAAGTACAGATCCCTAGAGTTTACCAAAAAAAAAAAAAACAGTTAAGAAGTGGCTGACTTCTTACTTGTTCATGAATTTCATTGATTACTAGTTGAATGCCGTGTATCAAATAAATTATGAATAAATGGTTACTTCATCAATGAGCATTTCTATTACTTGATACATATCTACACTTTCCCTAGATAGACTTTCAGCTTATAATTTAAAGCTTTACATTGTATATCATAAAAAAAAAACGGAGTCTCTTTTATAGATTAATGTTCAGTAGGTAGACTAATCTTTTTCCACTTAACTTTTTGGTTTTCTGTCACTGCTTAAGCTTTGCGCCTTCTGTTTTTATCTTGATAACATTTTAATTGTCTTTGGGAAGAGCAGAGGCTTAAACTTCTCACCTTGCCTCTCCTGAGTACTTGGGTTTCTAACTCAGATTCTCCCATTTAATCTCCAAACTTCAGGCTCTCAGTCTCTGGGAAATCTTGCTACATAAGGGAAATTGCGTGGATGTCGCTAATATGCTTTCTAATAGAGCACATTTGAAGTCTTTGCTCATTGTTCAGAGACAGGAAAAGAAGGGAAACAGGAGGATGGGTGAATGGGAAGAGAAGTGTGAGAAGAGGCATCCATCTGTGAAAGACTGACAGAAGGAATGGGGTCACCCTCAACAGAATGACCACAGATACTTTAAATCTTTCTCTGAGATCTTGTGTATTGAGAGAATCCAACCAGGTTCTATCGGCAGCCATAGTTATTGTGCCCCTGGGTGCTGCTCTGAGGTTATATAAAGAAAGAACATGCCCTGGGTCC